AATGCGACCAATAGGAAGGGTGGGCTGACACGGAGGTTCATTTAATTTTACACAGCCATTAACTTGGCATTTGGAAGCCTTGGTTTCTTACCGCTCCTCTTTGAATGCAGTCAGAGAAGGAATACGGATAAAGGCTAGTACCGCGACGAAACAAGGACAAAAGAAAAGACCATGAAGGTGGGCAAAAGAACATCAGTGATTGTAGTATTTAACTTTATCATCCAAAGTTTTTTATCTCAGCCGAATCTCATAGATTGCAGTCCGATATTATAAACGAACCACTCGGATTCGGTCCAAAGCACTAAGTTTGCCCACCTTTAAGCAGCTTTAAACTTTCCCTAAGCAATAACTTCCCAAGCAAACACGGGATATCTAGACTCCGACTAAGGGATATCGACAAATAACCAGAGCAACAAACATCTATCACAGGGAAACAATTCCTACCTCTAGTAAAACCTCGCCCTTCAAAAAGGGTAATCATAAAATGAAGAAAAGTATAACCGATAAAATGCCGGCTGGATTAAACTTGCATAGCAGACAAATCTCATCAGGCCACATGCAGGTTTTATACACAAACTAAATGACACCAAGATTTCCAATAGCACAACAACGAGGATAGGGATGAAACAAAGGAATTTGTGCAACAGTACATTAACCCCATGTTCCACTGTGATGCAGAGAAAAGAAGACAACGGCGAAGCTCGGCTGAATAACATCAAAACAATCAACCCGAAAATAAAAATGGGACTGGGGAGGCTAATTACCGCAGTGGCTTCACTCTGAAATTGAATGTGAAGAAAGGATTATCGGAAAGTGTAAGTGAGGGTTTAAAACCTTAGTTGAGACGGTTTGCATCTTCATGGAAACCAGAGATCAGTTCATCTCACTGAAATTTCTTTTTAATTCAAGTTTAAAACGACGAAACCAACAAAGTTGGTCACTTTTGCGGCTATAATACCTTGGTCATGTAATATTACTATTCTTTCAAGCTAGGAGGTAATAGAAGGAAGCCAAAAGCCAGGTAAATGTTGTACAACCCATGCCCATTGTATTATCATGCGTCGTCGCACGCTTGTAACAATCAGTGAATAAAGAGCAAACACTCTGTGGGAACTGAATTACCGAAAAAACAACCTTGTTGTTGAGTGTACATTGTTTCATGAATCTATGTAGTTAAGATAGAATCACAGTTTAATACAGCATGACTAGTGATAGCTGCCCCAAAAATAATGATAGGGTACAGTTTCAGTTTATACAACCATTGCACTTTCATGTAGCGGTATCGGTTGCTGTCTTTTGACTACCCCTCTGTACTTAAGAGTAGAGCGGAAGAATACAAAGCTGAAAGCAGTAACAAGGTGAAAAAAAAAGAAATTTAGACACACTAAGGTTGCAAACAAATGGAGTAGTTGCACGAAAGCCAATGTGTGACAATCATAGTCTCTAATCATCGATGACGCCGATCTACAGACCACCACCTGGGAAACCTTACAAACGTCGTGGCACTCTACTTGACTACATGCGCAGTACGCACCCTAGCCAACATAATCAATGGAGGTCGAGCACNTAAAACTACGGTCCTAACCTCGGCATTGTTTGTCCGGATTCCCCACCAGACAAGTGCAATGCAGTATCTGAACACGAATAGTCTACACTGATTGTGTTTCCCTTCAGTAGTCAAGTCTTTAAGCCATATAACAGCACTAGCTAAACAGATGCAGCAAACACTCGGCCCGACACAGATAGGAGGGTCGCTCAGCACCCGGAAGGTCTCAAATTAGCAGGTACCAAACGATGCTTCTTTATGTGTTGAAATTTCATCCGCGATACGTTGGCCAACAGAGACTTAGTTGCTACGGAGAGAAATTTGTTTACATTCTCCATCTGAAGTGAACTTAGTAATTGGAACAAAGGGTATCAATAAGCAGAAGTTGTCCAATTGAGGTAGAATTTAGAAAAACTGATGTCGATGGAGACTAGTTGAAAAGTTCAGTTCAGTTTGTACAACCATTAACCTTGACATTTTCAACCCATCATTTAAGACGGCATTGCTGAAAGTGTTTCTGTTTACCTTCAGACTCTTCACTCGGGCATAGGTTCATACACCTAAACAGATGAAGAAGATTGCGACCATTAGAAATAGCCGCAGTCGTCTCCATCTCTGTACATTTTGATACCCCCACCACCTCTCTCGGTTGTTTATCAGATCCTTGATGGGTTGATAAACATAGGACTTTCGTGTAGCCATACTTAGCATCCAAATAAACAGCTCTGCAAACACCCAGCAAGGCAGCAGAGATTGACGCAATGCATCGTTTGTGATTGGATAGTGCCAGAATCCCGCGTTGTCTTGATGGACGAGTGAATAGCTTCGTTGGTAAGTTTCTAGTTTTCATTCAGTCCTGCGATGGGTGGTTCAACTGAGAAGCGACGAAAGTTCCGCTCCAAAAATCAATTTGTAGTCGTCATTTACATTGCAATGAGGGCAGCCATTTTAGCCGACTTTCTTGCGACGTAGGCAGAACCTGGATTGTGACAGAGCATGATCCGTGTGTTGGTAAGCCAGAGCGGCAGTCTTCAACGGATCCTTGAAAGCGATAGATGATGGCAATGTGGGCGATTTGATTCCATCATTGTGAAGAGGTATGATGTTGCCATTGAAGGTGGTGTCGTTTTTTGTAAGAGAAGTTAGTGCTCGCTCTTGGTAAAGTTGAATTATTTGTCCGTTCAAATGGTTGTAATTGTGTATGAATCCATAAACACCTTTCTGTTTCGTACCGGGCTTTCAGCTGAGCGTTAAAGTTAACTGTGCCTACTAAGATAAGATACAAGGTACAAGTTATTTCTAATAGAGAAATTTATGTTCCACTGGGACTCAGCGCGGGGTGTAAAACTTTGTCAATAGATTTAAACCATTTCCGATGGGTTGTTTCTTTACATTGGTATTGTACAAGTCCTTGAACTCGTTTAAAGAACAGGATCTGGTTGCTTTTTCAAGCAATTAATTCATAGAAACAATGCGATATTTCAATGAAAGCCCTTTGAAACCAACTAAGGAAAAAAACATGATGAACCCCCAAATTGGACTAATTTGAGCGACGTTTTAGTAAACACAAAATAGTTGGGGTGGTTATAGACAGTTAAGTTAGTAAAAATGCGTCGAATAATAAAGTTGTAGTAATTGTTTCAGTAATCAGACCTCTATACCGAGCTCTTTTCAATTTGACCCCAGCCGCCCCCCTCCCCCCAATAATGCGTCCGCAATCTTAATGGAAAGAATCCTACCCACTGTCTTATCATGTAGAGGGTGCTCTTGCAAATGGGAGGAGACGAGAAATCAATCCTAAGACTCAAAGCCGAGTTGGTGAGCCACTGTCCGCTAGCTTGTACGCAGGAGTTAGCAGACTTTGATTCTAAACTTCTCCGAATGAACCACATATGCTACTTCCAAGAGTACTCTCCGGATGGACTTGACGCTAGAGTATGTTGGGCACCTTAGACGTTCGAACTCTGTTCGAGGAACATAAAACCCAAACAACTTGGCATCGACACTCAAAAATCAAACCTTCAAGTACTGCCGTAATTCTTCATAAATGACTATTCCACCGAAGGCTACGGATACGATCACTCAAGCTAACCCCTCTGTTGATGCCAGCGATCAATAATTACAACAAAATACGACAAAGAAGTAAACTTGAAACTGTCACCTACTTAAATTCATTTCAATTGCTAATACGTAGTGTTGATAGCCTGGACATTTCAGGTCAGTGACTAGCTAGAACTAGCTAGAACAGCCTGTGGATAAAAATCATGTTAAGCGGTAATTCCAAAAAGTTTCAAAACCGTGTGCAGTCTAATATATGGATACGTACAGTTTGTAACAAAAAACACGGTAGCGAACAATCTCGTGTGCGGTGATTCATTCACAAGCTAATACATGACAATTTATGTAAAAAAAGATTGGGGAAAATAATCGACATTCTAGTTCCATGACCGGATGTTGATAAAACAATGGACATCAAGCGTACGCATTGGTTTGGATCATTACGGGTGGGTGGGGGAACGGCTGTGTTGTGTGTGTTGCTGGCCATGAAAGACCGAGCTTTCTTACGAAATGTTCTTTATATATATATATATATATATATATATATATTGCAAGTTAAGTTTAGGAATTGATGGAACGATGTAAGAGATACAGTAGATGAAACTAGTCTTCTACTCCCATACACTGTAAACCGAAAAAAAGAATCGAAAAANGTAAACCAAACTGAATTAAAATGAGGTTCCGCGTTTACTTAAACAGGATTCAAAGTTGATTCATGATCGTAAACTGAGACAAAAGAACAAGAAGGCTAAGCAATACAACAGATCAAACCAGTCGTGAAATGATTCTCGCTGCTAAAGAACATCTTTTAGTATGTTTAGGAGAAAATTATAAACACTTCTATAATTTAATCGTCTTTCCTTGAAGGTATGTGTTTATTGTGTTTGCTATTAATGCAACATATTTAAAAGCAAACCAAAGAATGACCAAAATGATTCACCGGACACTTTCAATTGGAAAGAGAAAAATACGAGACATACCTGCTTTTTGGATACATCGTCTTTGGCTCTTTTTAGAAGAGTTTTGCTCCTGTCCAAGTCCAAGCGTGTCTCTTCAAGCTTTGTTTTTTCTTTCTGTTAAACCACAAGATGACACTCGAAATTATCTAACAAATCAAGATGTATCAAACTTTCATTTCTCTTATTATTTTCTCGAAAATATAACTGTGTTTCGTGTCGAATGCTGAAGCTATATTCATGTTAGGAATGTTTTGGACGACAATACAACCGAACTATGAAAATTTCAAAATTTCAAAACTTCAAATACAAACGACACAGACTAATTGGAAAACTTAAACAAAAATGATAGTGACGGATTATTGGGTAAAAGAACGATAAATATTCTTTCATTATATCAAAGGATAAACGTAACTGAGCGTGAAATCATGAAAGGAAATTCAAAAAGTTACCATAGCTTCCTTGCAGTCTTCGTTTACATATTTTCGGAGCCAACTGAGATAACCGTTCTCAATTGCCTGTACCATGCTGCGCTCAGCTTGGCCTAAAGCGTTTTCAGCCTCACCGGTTTTCATCAGAGCAGTTCCTGTTCCAAACGAAAAAAATGCTTTTAGGAATACCATGAAAAATGTTACGATATATTTTTCGTATAACTTTTTATAACCAGCCTCTGACAAAACGTGGAACGATAGACATTTTCGAAGTACCAACGAATGACGGATACTTACACCTCAGTGAAAACAAACGATAAGATTGAAATTACGTAGTTTCAGTTTTAGTTTGTACAACCATTAAACAAGCATTTTTGTACTCTGGTTTTGGTTGCTGTCTTTTGGCTGCCCATTTGGAAGGTTGAAATCGGAGCCGAAAAGAGAACGAAGAATTCAAGTGGAACAAGGTTGCAAGGAAATTGAGAGGATGCACAACCGCCACTGTTTATGACACCCAGTCATATTCCTCAATGTCTCTAACCACTGAAATTCTCCATCTTTTGTTCCACTCTACTTTCAACTTTCCTGTCTTCCCCTATTCTTCATCCAAATGGGCAGCCAAAAGACAGCAACCAAAACCGGCGCAAGAAAGTTCTTGGTTAATGGTTGTACAAACTGAACTGAACTGATCCTGAGGTCCCGAGTTATTGTAACGAATGAGCAACACTTGAGGTAACAAGGCTAAAAGCCAAAAGCATGAGGGAAGGCACGGAAAAACACTAGTGGAGCTGTTGCTTCAAATCGAAATTTCACCTAACTTTAAGGATAAGATTATTCAAAGGCAATAAGTGGAAAAGCAACTACTACCACAATAAAACTTAAACAATTTGGTTAATGTATCTTGACCCGAGCTTGCTCCGATTATCAGACTCTATCAAATTGTCTCATTCAATGATCCCTAAATACAAAAAGTAAACCGACCCTTACCGTGTGGATTTCCGGAGCCCAATTCGTTAGCAATGCGAATTAAAGTATCACCCAAAACCTCTCCTGAAGACATCCGCTCTTTTTTCTTGTCAAATCCTTTCAAAACCATATCCTCCACCCGCATGGCTGAAATAATATGAAACATATTTGTAATGAGTTCAATGAGACACTGAAAAACAGAAAATGACTGACAAACGAGTTTTGATTTCATCATTAGTAATATATGCTTTTCTATCAAAACAATTTATAATTAGTTCCTCAAAAAGCTAATCGTTATGCTGCATGATAGCTTTAAAAAGTTGGGAGGACAATAACAGAAACCACTAAAATCGAACGATACTATACAATGTTCATCTCTAAATACAGATGAATTTGTGTTTCGTTTCGGTACTAACTTGACATGCCTAGTTAAAGGTCATCAGTGTTGAGGGAGAGATTTATCTTGTTCAATGTGACCAATTAGAAATATTTTGAACTCGCTCACTGGAAATTGCGATTACTTTTGTGATCGCAGATTCCTTTTTAAAAAAACATCATTTTTCAAACTAAGATCCTAAAATTCACTCACAATGAGGAGATAGTGCAAATATGTCCTTGATTACTTCTGTGCGTTTTATCAAAAACGTCTATGTTCGCAAGTATGAAAGGCCACTATCTAACCAGATTCACAAGGCTTAGAAGAAATTTTTCATCCATCTACTTTTTCAAGGAGATGCGCTTCCTGACTTCGTGAACTAACGGCTGATGCGTACAATGAAGTGGACATACATACAATACAGCTCGATTATCATGTGTCTACATCATCCGAACCAGCTACAAAGATAGGCCATCTACCCTGGCCACTTTCATGGTCATTTACGCCTTTCGGTACGTTTCCAATGCAACGTACATTGGCCGTACGACGAGGCAACTATCCTAACAGATGAATGAACAATGCCCAAGCTGGTTAAGATAAGGAGGAACACGGAGTATAGTATGGCCATCCGGTGGATACAAACCATCAAATGAGACCAGGATCCGCGTTCGGTGTAATCTATCGTGTATCCCTCAAAACCCCTAAGGTAGTGTGATTACACACGGTAGCCACTGCTGAAGTGATCTGCACTTGTCTTTCCGCAGCAGAACTATGCGCACAAAGGTGCCCCAATTTGCCCCCACGAACATCACCACAAAAACTCCAATCGCAATCGATTCCCCCAAATACATTTACATAAAGCTTACCCCACCCCTTTCCTCTTCCTATCCCGAATGATCTTTCGATCCATGGTGAAAATGTGCACCCATAAACAGAAAACCTTTGTATGATCTGTAGAGGCACAATTATTAATCATTTAAAAACGACTGTTCCCCTTCGAATTTGTTTTCTAATGAAAGTATTAGCCACTGAAAATAGTTACAATTACGACGCTATGTTTGGCCATCACGAACACAGGTAACTCTCAAAAGTTATCAGCTCCAGAAAGTGTTAGTTTACTTCATTCCAAACCATCCGTTTTACATGGAAAGAGTTCAGCTTAAGTTTTCTCCTGTGAAACCTCAAATAAAAAATATTGCAAAGGTTATGTGGACATGTTTGCAGGCTGCAATACCGCCCAATCATCCAAACCAATATAACTCTTATCGTAAGTTTGAACTACAGCTTAAAGTAAAAGAATAGATTCCTCCAGCATTAGCCTAAAGTGAATATATATGGTACACCTAGAGGGCAATCTATAATTCATAAAATCTAAACATAGTTTGCAATTATAAATCTCGGCTCCGAGCTACTAGTAGCACAATCATTGAAAACTCCAGGAACGACACTAGGCATATTAATGATAAGCTAAGTACGGTCTATGGCTCCCTCAAAATTGACAGTGAGCTGGCTGAACTTAGATATATACAGAGCTCAATAACAGAACGTATGATATTAATTCCCATCAGTGTCTCTTGCGTACCACTGAAAACATTAGACGAACAAACTTCTACATAGGAAATTTTGATTGTAAATAAAGCCAAAGTTTACCGCTTCAAAGGCCAGAACCTAAGTCACCTCGTAGTGAAATTTAAACATTAGTGAACTGGGTTGCCGATATTCGTTCTGAATTAATGCTATTCCCCGCAAGAGCTACAGAAATTAAAGACCTAAAACAAAAAAATAGGCAACTGATAGATACCCATCGGAGATGGACTGGGGAGGCAGGTAATCGAGACGAAATCCCAAGGACGTCGGAGGCAAAGGACCTGGGGGTCATGATTACTGGACTTTAAAATGAGCAGCCATTGTTTGATGGCTGCCAAAACAGCGAATATGGCACTCTACCAGCTACTCAGAAGGGTGGCCTCCCGAAATCTAGTGGTTCTCATACTATTGTATAAAGCCGATGTTCGTCCTCACTAAGAGCACTGCGTCCAGGCCCGATCGCCGTACCTTGTGAGAGACAAAGCAGTGCTGGAAAGAGCTCAGCGACGGTTCACCAGATACTTTGCTCACCTCCGCGTTACCACAGTCGTCTGAGAAGCCTGAAACTGTTTTCCTTGGAGAGTCAGCGACTTAGGAAGGACCTGATTGATACCTTCAAGTACTTGAAGGGTCTCTCTAACCCGGAATCAGTATTAACTTTGAGCGAAAATACGAACCTGAGAGGCCACCATTATCAGTTAGTGAAGTACCGATCTAGACTGGCTAGCTTCTTCACTAGCCGAGTGGTAAATCCATGGAATAAACTGCCCGATGAAGTGGTCACAGCGGCTAGCATCACAATCTTCAAACATAGGCTCGACCTTAGTTGATAGGTTGTGTTGCCTGGAACACCATGAGGAAGCAGGGTAGGTGGACACGTGGATATGTGGGAGTGATAATCGATTGAAGATGACTGATGATTGTGGTTGATGATGATTGGTGATGGAGGTATGCATGCCAGCTCATGTATATACAATGGCTTACTGGAACCTGTTCAGAAGTACCAGGGCGGTCTAAGCAGGACAAATACTGAGGATCAGTTACTTAAATGCAGATGGCTGGAAATCTTGGATTATCGCTTCAGAGAGGACAGGAGAGGAGTTTTGCGTGTTACCGCTATCTCCACTATCATCCCATATTTCTCGACACATCTTATTTGTACTGCTCATAAATGACCTAACCGTAACGCTCCAGCCACCTAGCTTTTTCTTCGCGGACGATGTGAAATTGGATATTGCAGCAGTCTTAATATGGGCTCCCATGTGGGACTTTCCACTAAATGCTAGCAAAAGCCAACTGCTATCGCGAAGCGTAGAGGGTATCACAGTTGGCCACGAGATAGGTCCCTTCACTATAGAGGCGACGGAAAATGTAAAAGACCTAGAAATCTTGGTAACCACTGATCTTATGTGGTCGAATCAGTGTGCCAGAGCAGCACGGAAAGCTAATGTGATTTATTTAGACTAAGGCCAGCGTTGTGGGGCCGTAAACCTGAGGTGTCCATACCTTTATATAAGGCCATAGTAAGGCCCCACATAGATTATTGTGCCCAGGTATGGTCATCTTTCTTCAAAAAGGATGCCGCCTGCTTAGAGCGGGTCCAACGGCTGACAACGAAAATGGTAGAGGATCAGCGAGTTAAGGACTACAAGCATATCGGGACCGGGACTATTCTCTTTAGAAAAGAGAAGGCTCAGGGGAGATATGATAGAAACCTTCAAGATAACGAAAGGCT